TGGGGAAACACAGGGTGATTGCACATTACAAATTTATGGTGAAAACCCTAAAGTGACCCGGGCTGCCTCTTCTGCCTTGTTGCTGTTCAGGATTAAGGTCAACAAGCATGGAGCAAAAAAGTCTGGCGGTTAATGGGCCAAGACGCACACTGTCTACCCAAAATGTCACAGGTTTGAATCCAGCTTGTGACCTTTTTTGAATGTCATATCCTCGATGCATTCAATCTTTCTGGCCATTGTGCTGTTGTGTTTGTCAGCAAAGCACACATGTCATTAAAATGCTTTCATGCTGGATATACACAATACCTCTCGACCACCTTGAAGCTGCAAGTCTGAGTATTTGTAAGACTGATAGTAAAAAATTCCAGAGAGAATGTGGTGCATTTGAGCACATGATCTGATAGCAAATTATATCAGATATAAGAAGTTCTGATATAGGTCAGGAGATTTGGAGGCGTTTTATATTAGTTCCTGGGTGATTTGCCCAGTGGAAGCTGGACGGGGCAACTGGAGTGAATTAAAGGGCACCAAATCCCATGTTCTAATATATAGCCGTAATAGATGTGGAATCCGTAAAGGCAGAAACAAGTCAGTTGTCTGGATTTTGCCTGGCAGTTTTACCCACAGGCTTTGGCATAGAGCATTTGGGTCAAGAAATAGTATCAATCAAAAAAACTGCAGGACCCAACACAGTAAAGCAGATAGCAGTAAAGGTGGGTAAACGGACTCAATTAAATAAATAAAATGTGAGTTTTTGAGAAGGGAATATTGGACTTTTTATAATAGCTATAGCTCATACTTGCTTTAAAAATAGACTTTGAACAATATTTTAGGTTTATATATTCAATGTAATTTTATTTATAGTGCACCAAAAAACAACAAGGAGGCTCAAGGCGCCTTATATTGTAAAGTTTTTTGAAGATCTGATCCCAATCATGTGGTGGTTTTGTTCCTTTTCCTGTTCAACTGTTGGTCACCAGCTGATTTCACTGATCCTCATCCTATTACTCAAACTGCTACTTTTATAGAAATATTTTAAAATATTAAATTACTTTAAAGACTTTCCCCATTTTTCATAACATTTTTACAACTCTTTGACGTCACAAAAAAAATAATGAAAGAAATTAGCCTGGATGCACTCTCACTTTTCTTAATCATTTCATGACCTCCCAGAATTATCTTGTAATCCTCCAGAAACTGGTCCAAAAACCCAATGCAGTGAACTACTGAACTTAACCTGACAACTATACTTCAGTTTTTTGAGAATACCACAATTTATGAAATGTTATCCCCACATCCATTCATCCATTTTTGACACTTTGGGATTTGGGTCACGGAGACAACAGTCCAAGCTAAGAAACCCAGACTTTCCTTACCCCAGTCACCTCCTGCAGCTCATTCGGGAGGACACAGAAATGTTCCTAAGCCAGCTGACAGATATAATCTCTGTATTGAGTCCTGGGTCAGCCCTAGGGCATCCTCCCAGTAGGACATGCTAGGAATACCTAGGAGACATCAAGGAGGCATCCTAGTCAAGTGCCTGAACCACCTCAACTGGCTCCTTTCGATGTGGAGGTCCTGCGGCTCTACTCCGAGCCCCTCTCAAATGACCGAGCTCCTCACCCCATCTATAAACTCATTTCAACCGCTTGTCTCTGTGACCTCATTCTGTCTGTCACTACCCAGAGTTTCTGACCACCCAATCCATCACTCGATCTCATGGTCCACTCTCCCCTCACTTGTGAACAAGACCCAGAGACACTCAAACTCCTCCACTTGGGGCAGCAACTCATCCCTCACCCAGAGTGGGCACTCCAGCCTTTTCACCACCACAGCGGAGTCATATCAGCCCTTGAAAGTCTGACATGAGTGCTGACTTTCAAGGGCTTTAATGAAAGCATTAGGAATTACATCCACTGTTATACATACTTCCCCATTTTCAGAGGCTAAACCATAAATGGACCGAATAATATAATTTTAAATATAAGGACTCTTTGTAATATACGGATGAAGCTCTTTTGTAGTCAATGACTGCCTAAAGTCTAGAGCCCAAGGACATCACCACCAAACCACCAGCAGAGACACAAAGCAAAGCAAAGAAACACAAGCAGACAGTTGCTGAACTAAAAACAGGGACACAACCACAACTTCTCTGAGACAGATCTCAAAGCGAAGGATCTGTAAAGACTTTGTCACAAAATACCAACAACACAGAAGTTTTACTTGCAATGAATTACTTCCACTGTATTGTGGTACTGATACCACTATACTAACCAGGCTAACAGCATATTATAAGCCGTGAACACTTATGTACACACTACATCATATGTTTTTCTTTGTTTTAACAAATTTGTAAGAATTTCATGAAGACACTTCTGAACTTTTTCACTATTGGGTATTGTGAAAAATAAATCTAATCCATTTTGGAAGATGTCTGTGGAACAACTGAAGTGCTGTGAATACTTTTTGGATACGCTGCGAGTCCACTTGTACATTTCAGTGCATCTCTGATGTTCACTTCTTGTCTGGAAAGTGGTTATTTGCTTCCATTAGGAGCTCCTGAGTGTTCTTCTTGTAGTTTACTTTTTTCAGCCAGGACTTCACATCCTTATTCTTCTGTGGCTGTGAAGCCTTTAATGCCCTTGAACATTTTTTAATGTTATGGCCTAAAATGTAACAGTCCAAAAATGTGTCTAGATTATCCCCCCTTCTAAATTCAAACTATAGCTTTGTGGCTTTTACATGTTGTTGTTGAGTGCTTTATATAAAACCTTCCCAGTTGCTAAACATTACTGGAATATCACAACTTCCCTGGTCTTTAAAACATGTGTAAATATAGTAGCTATATAGTATCTAATATTTTTAACATTTACTTGTTTTACTTGTTAAATCATAACTGGCTTTTTTGTTAACACTTGTATCATTTGTGAATTTATTATTTTCTCTGTTGGTTTTATACTACACCACATGTGTTGGTAGATTGCTGCCCACAGTAGGCATTAAAGTCAGACCGATTGTTGGTCAGACCCCGAGCGCTTTAGAGTCGATACGTGTTTGTTCTTTGCCAATATCAGGGCTTAAAGCAGGGACAAATTATATATTTTGGACATGAATTGAAACTGCTTGTGATTAGACAACAAACAAAACACCAATGGAAGAGACATGTAGAGGATTTTCAGAATCAGTTTTCTGTCTCTTGCTAAATGTTTATGCTTCAATTTGTATCTTTTCTGCATCAACAGATAGTGGAAATGTCTCTATTTACATAAAAGAAAGAGAAAGTGAAGCAGAATGCAGGAAGGATGACACAAATATTTATTTTTCTGTAGGATACATTTTCTCATGATATAATCCCAGCTGAGCCAACACATCGCTTATTTGAACAAGTTTAATCATGCGCGTGTGGCCTTTGTGTCGTAGTAAATTGATTTTTTTTCAATAATTTATCCACTTCTGGAGTTCAGCGAGATTTCTGTTCATGTCCAAAACTTTAGACATCTCTGTGTTTGGCGTGATTTTGAAGAGTCTTCATTGCGTGACTAAGAATGAGAGAAATCTTGAAGGACATGCGAGGGCCTTAAGATTAGTTAGACACCAAGCAACAAAACTTATGTGAGACTCAGACATCAAACATTGTAATGTTGTATCTGCTGATCCTTCTGCCATCTCTCTCTTCCATGGTTATGAATCTGCATGTAAAAGGGGAAGGGATGCTGCACCACTAAGGGCAACATGTCCCCACTTCTTCGATGTATTGTCAGTCTGCCCCGGAGCAGCTGTGGCTACAACTGTAGCTTGTCTCCACCAGTGTATGAATGTGAGAGTGAATGAATAGTGGTATTGTAAAGCGCTTTGAGGGGTCCCGAAAAGCGCTATATAAATGCAATCCATTATTATTATTATTATTATTTTTTCTGTATAAGATGCTAAACTGGTAACACAAGCACAATGAATCATGGCCATCCCAGAAATCATGACCCATTTCAGAAACACAATGCGATCGTTGCCAAATGTAAATCCTCGCATTTACATTACATGAAAGGACCGTCCACAGAAAATGCATCACTCGCTGGTTCCTCAGCCTGATACAATTAGGCTGCCAGATTTCAAGTCAAACACGACTTTCAAAGCTTCAAAGAAGCTTTACTCTTTGATGCTTGTCTTTGACGCGTGTGGTTTCTTAACAGCAATATGCAATGTAATGAGTCTACTGATGTGAAACAATCGACTAACTAGCCCATTAGATCACGATGATGATGTGAAAACAAAGACAAGATCCCTGCTTCAGTGCATTTTTCAAATTACTGCAAACTTTTTTACACCACAACATACACTTTTTTCAAAAATCTTTTTTTTTTTCCAAATGAAATGTGGTTCCAGGCTAGATTCACACATGTACGAGCAGATGTTTTCTATGGGAGAGTTAAAAAAGACAAGCAAGAATATTTACCACAGGCATAATTATACATAGTCATATATTGTCCTATAATGATCTAAAACACCAGAACGCTCGAGAATTTTAACCCCTGTATTCAGCTGATGACTCAGTCGAGGATATCCATTTCCTGTGGTTACCACTCACATCACAAAATATCCAGTAAAACCTGCTTCATTTTACTTTGTCTTACATGCTTGATATCTGCATCGGGTACATCAGTGTGTAGACTGTTCGATGGTTTTACCTGTAGGCTTACATGGCTGAAGTCACTGATGCATTAACAGCCAGATGGTATACCAAGTCATCAAAATGTAATGAAAGCCCTCTCTGCATGATCCAAATAAAGCCTGACGGCATGAAACCTCCCTCTGATAACGTCAGACATTACTTAACCTCCAGTCATTGCTATATCAATCAAAAAATATTATAACATCTTCCAACTTAAGTGGTTTAACAAACATGTCAGAAGCATTAGGCAGACATTTAAATACAGTTTGACAAGTCAGCATATAGCCTAAGGTTTATTATCCTGTGAGCTGTAAGAAGGCTGTTTATGGCTTACCCAGACCCAGCAGGTCCACGGCTGACTCTGTGCCGTTCTTAGGACTGCCTCTGTACTCTGCCTGTTGAGGAGAACAAAGAGAAAAGAGAAATATATATATAATATTGATATAAAATATAATATTTGATTTGTTCAAGCAGGGTATTTGATCAAAATTATAACATTGCTAGACTGTAGATGGTAATTACATCCATAGAGACTAGACCTTTCACGATTCCGTATAACAATCCAATATTGATCCTTATTAAAGATACTAGATTGGATCATCAATGAGAGCAACTGGTCCTAAGATGAGTAATCTCCTTTTAATGCAGCCATAGTCTGCAAACCTTTTCTACTGCAAGTTTGTCAGGATGACTTTTAGTTAATCATATCCTCATTATATGGGCCATCGAGTACATTCTGTGACTTCCACAGCAGAACCAAGAAGTTGGCATTTTGACTCACCCTACTAACATGACCTCAACAATTCTATTACATTTGATTTCAGTGGAGAGTATGATTTCATCTATGGATCCTGAGGCAATTTTGACTGCTACGACACTAGATGAAGTGTTTGATGCTTTAATGACTTACTAGCTTGCATATATGCACGGGGTGATGTAATGTACATTCCTGCTGGCAGGATCAGTTGCTAAATGTTGTGTTTCACAAAGTGAAGCAGTGAATCAGCAAAAGAAAGGAATTAATCCCAACTTAAGAGAATAAGGTTTGTGGTGCAGCTCAATATGTATTATATTGAGATATGTTTTAGGAATTTATCCTACAATCACTGAACTTAATTGGAGAGAAACTGTCCTGGTCCGGGTGAGTGCGGGGTTTTTCCACTCTGCTGGGCTCCACCTTCAGGCAGAGACTCCAATCAGCTTTCACACCTGATTCCAATCAAGTCACCAGCATATAAGACCAGCGCTCACAACAGACCTCTGCCAGATCTATTGCTAACTCACGTTAGTGCTACGCCGCCAAGCCCTTGTGAGAGCCTCTTAACAATTGCATTTCTCCTCACCGTGTTTTCTTTGTCATAGGACCCACCTGGCCGTCACGCTTCACAAGCTGAACTACACACATCTCCGCCTGGACGCTGGTTCTCTGTCATCTGGTTGCTTCCTTATCATCATAAGACTCCACCTGCCTGCCTCCCTGCCAGGTCCCTTGCTCCAAGTATATTCTGGACCCTCTCTGGACACTTCTCACCCGGACCTCCTTGGACACCCCCTCCTCACATGACACTTTCACCTGCAACGCGTAAGCCCAAACCACCACAGTCTCATCCTTCGGCTACGATTCACTAGACCGCCACTGACTGCCTGTCTCTTCTCATTATAGTGACTGTGTACCTCCACCCAAGCCGCTGCCCCTTTTTCCATTCCCAGGATCCGTCTATGAAATCTTGCACCTAGTCATAGCACTCAGAGTTTCATGTTCATAGTTTGGCCTCACAGTTCTCAGTTCATAGCTTCCACAGTTCATAGCATTCATAGTTTCCTGCTTTGTAATTTAACTAGGTACTGTAAATAAAGCACTATGTTCACGCCCGTTTTGCCTCCCTCTGTGTCTGCATTTGAGTCCACACCCACAGCCTGGCCCTCTCGGCCGTAACAGAAACAACTGTCAGAACGCATTTTCCTACAGAATTACTTGGTATCTGTGGCAGCAGAGTCAGGTTTTGTTAGCTGTTGGGTTTTGGTTTAGACAGATGTTAAATATTCAGAAACTAGAGGATGTTACCTTTCAAATAATGTCCTAAAAATTTCCTTTAAAAGCCTTCAATTCATCCAAAATGCTCTAGAGTGTAATGACAGATACTAGAAAGAAATTACATATTTCCCCGATATTGGCTTCTCTTCATTGACTGCCTGTGAAATCCAGAATCAAATTTAAAATCATTCTCCTCATATATAAGGTCTTAAATAATTAACCCCCATCTTATCTTACATACCATTGTACTGTATCACCCCAATAGAGCACTTTGCTCTCAGTCTGCTGGCTGACTTGTAGGGGTACTTAAAAGTCGAATGACAGGCAGCGTAAGTAAGTATTCTAGTGTCATGCGAGGCCATCTTTCCGACTTCTAAAGCCTGGCCAAAGTTGGTGTTGGGTCTGTGTTTCCACAAGCCCCGCTAATTCTAGAGACTTATTCATCATGAAGAAAACAAGACAGTCGATCGATCAATCACTTGCGCAAGGGAGGCCTGTGTCCACCACGAAAATGACCTCGACGACGACCTCCCTTGCTGCCCTTTTTATTGAGACACAGTTCACACAAACCACTTCAGAACAAAGCCACGCCCACATGGTTCTAAGACATGGCATTGTATGCATATGTAAACGCAGGAAGCTTACATCAAAAGAAGCAGATTTTCCAGATAGGATGTATCTGCAATAAAACATTACAGCCCCCCATCCAGAACCTCGAGAATTTGGGGGGGAAGGACAGTGGAATTTCTTTCATCAGAGTTGGCAAGCATAAAAATGACAACATTTAACAATTCACTCTAACAGTTGGGTCATTGTAAACAGGACAAAGATCCCAGGCATGATTGGGGTGATACAGTACAATGGTATGTCGGTCATCCAAGTAAAGAAATTCCAATATGGAGACTGAGGGAGTGACTTGAATGAGAGACAAAAATGTTTCTCCCACTAAAGAATCAACATTCTGGAATACAAAGAAAGATTCTTGGCACCAAGGCTCAGGAAATACAGGTTATACACTATCTGAAAGGCTCTTGGTCCAATCCCCTGGCTGCTCCAGTGTGTATGCCAAAGTGCCCTTGGGCAACATACTGAACCCCAAGTTGCTCTCTGATGCGCACATCAGAGTATGAGTGGGTGAATGTTAGACAGCAATTGGACGTAGAAGAAAGGCTGGTATCAATAGGCGTCAATGGGTGAATGAGGGATGCTGTATAAAGCACTTTGAGTAGTCGAGTAGAATAGAAAAGCACTGTGTAAGAACCAGGCCAGTTACGATTATCTCCCACAGCAGCAATTCTACAACAAAAGAAAAAAAAGAATCAAGGTGTTGCAAAGTCTAAGACAGGGGTCTCAAACTCCAGTCCTCGAGGCCCGGTATCCTGAAACCTTTCCATGTGTCCCTGTTGCAACACCTGAATAAAATTAGTAGGTCCTTAGCAAGAGTATAGAACTTGACTGCATGCTAAAGTGGCAACCCCTAACCCTACTCAAGTAAATCTAAGTAAATGTAAGTGTTTGGAAAAATGTACTTCTTAAAGTACTTTTATTACACCATGTTCATTCACTCATGAGCTGCTGTGACATGAATCAAATGGCTGAACTGGCACCTCAGCATGCAGTCAAGTTCTATCTAAGCTATATAATTATGGGCTGTTATTAGATTTTCATGCTTGTTTCTGCATTCTGGCTTAGTTTTTGTTAAATCAATACCAACAGTGTAACATGTTATATGATGTTCATTTCAGGTTTTATTCGCTTTATTTTAAGAGCTTGTAAAAAACTAGATATTTGTTATGTCCTGACATATAAAACCCCAGAACAGAGAAGACAAATTTTAACACAAGTTCTATTGGCCGTGATGGTGGCCATGTCCACAAGATGCACAGCATCATTTTTGGCATAATGTTTCTCGCATCATCATTCCTTAAGCTCTTTCATGGCCTCTATTCAATCAGACTGTCATATTTTAGAAGTTTATCAGGGGTATACTACCTTGGTGATATTGGTTACCGATATGTAATCGTGCTAATTTAGCTTTACACCTGATAAGTTGAGCAGAATCGGAAAGTAGTGCAGGTAGGAGAAGAAGACAAGGAAAGCGGCTAATGAAAGAACGACAGCAAGGAAGAGAAAGATGGGGATTAATGTTCAGGGAAGACACAAGAGTGAAGGGGTGTGGAGACAGACAGTGGAACATCGGAGAAAAAGAAGTGGTGAGAGAGAGAGAGAGTCTAAAAGGGTAATACATGGGCCAAGAGAGATCTACAACACTGGTAACAAACCCAATTGGCCCCCCAACAAAAGATCGATGGAGCACATTCGATTCTATGTTGTTCCAATCCAAGGCAATGAAAACAATTACCGTGTCCATGCCTAATCAGGAATGCATTGGCTGTAAATTGATGTGTGTTGGGATTGCAGCAAAGTGTGAACAGCAGCGCATGAACTGCAGAAGGAAGGAGCATCTCTGTACAGCAGCCAGAGGTTGGACTGTGCAATGCATTCATATTGGGAAACAGTAAAGGAACACTCTGGGGAATTTTTAAGGAAAAGCAATAATGAAACTAAGGTTGAGGAATACTTATTAGTAAGATTCACTTAAGTTAGTGGCCAATAACTGCATGATAAATTTCTGTACAGTTAGAAATGTTGAAAAATTCTATTAAAAAATTCCCTCCAGTTTATCTTATGAGATAAATCTTAAATCAATATAAAAGAATAAAAAGGGGATTGGGGAGGTGGGAGGCAGCAAATGGTGACAGAGTAAACAGAGAAAACACTGTAAATAATGGATTGAAAAAAGAAAAAACAATTCAAACCAAAATCTACGGTGGCCCTGGGAGGTCAAGGGCACTGCAACTTAAGAAAACACCTGCAAAAGCTAACAAAACAGAAATAAAGCACAACAGGAGTGTTTCTGGGGCAACGTTAATGTGACAGAAACTACAACATGAGAAGGATTCACTGAAACGAGCCATTGGTGTTGTGACAGAAAAAGATGCAGGTAATGTATGTTTTAATTGCACGAGTCACACAGTACTGTAGCTACATGTTTGCTATTAGCCGTTTACTGCTAGCTTGTCACTTTCGCAGCTGTTTTGGACCCAAAACATTCAGTCTATTGTGTTTTTCGTGCAGATTTTTATAATTTCCAATACTTTTTATTCACCTTCTGTTGTGTTTCGTGTGCTTTTGCAGAGCTTTTCTTTCTTCTCATGTGGCATTTTCTTAAATTGCAGTTTGACCTCTCAAGGCCACCATTAATTAAATTCTCATCACTTTTGCAAATTTGTTAATTGGTTTATTTATTTATTTATTTATTCATAGAACTTAATATAAAGAAGACCCTTATGTCAAATTTTGCTCTGCAACAGCAAATGGTGAGGCAACTGGGATTCAGCATTTTTTAACAAAGTGTACCATACTTGATTAAAAGCTTATTCAATTTAGTTTGAAAATGCAACTGGAAGGTTCTCAGGATTTTTCTTGTGTTGATAAAATGCTTGTTTTGTGTGCTTTTAGGATTGCTAACGATGAACCCTCTAGTTGTCAAAGAGTATTATTTTTCCGTATTAACCGCACTATGTATATTAAAGCAATGTGGGAAAAAGAAGGTAATTTGTCAATTATAGAGGAGTGTTGGGGCCACGCATGCAAGATACAGTGGGCTACCACTGGGTCTAATGTTTGGCGTGAATTTTGCTGAAGAAAGCATCAGGAAATTTTTCATCACACCTGCTCAACAAAGATATCGGGGAACTGGTGACAAATGTTGGAGATGTGGGGGAGATGGTTTCCATATCTTTTGGGATTGCAAAGTTATTCGCCAGTATTGGTCTCTAATCCATGAACATCTACAAAATGTTTTTTCATTTGTTTTTCCTTTAACCTTTGAGACCATATTTTTGTGTAATGTACCAGTGGATAAACTGAATTCCAATGATAGAAGACTCTTGTATAGCCTACTGGCTGCAAGTAAGAAGCCCCTTACGAGGACAGGGCTTAAGCCTGAACCACCAACGATGGAAGATTGGATGCATTCTGTACAAGAGATCTATACGATGGAACAATTGTCATTTTCTCTTAAACTTCAGAGGGATACCTTTTGCAGAATATGGTCTAAATGGACATGTTAAGCCTGTGAGGTGTGATTTTTTTATGACGTTAAAGCCCTGAGTATTATGCGAACTTACCTGCCCTGCTACCTCCTAACGCAAGTCTTTTTTTTCCTTTTCTTTTGTCTTTTCTCTAATCTTTTTTCTCTTTTTTCTTTTCAATTATAATCTAAAAAATGTGAAAGCAAAGAGTGTAAAAAGCCATACCACTGTTATGTTCAATTGCTTTCTCAATAAAAGAGATAATGATAAAATACAAATATTAAAAAAAACCCGCTCACACCTCACAGACGGCAGCTTACAGTCCTGCGTAAAGATGAAAGTGACTTCGTACAGCCCCGGTCTGCAGAAGCTGTGTGCAGAGGTTAGGAGCAGGAGTCCCATTGTAAACATACCATGGCAGACCCGACAACGTTTGCATGAACATGCTTTACAGCTTCTCTTTATTAACCACTTTTCACACACGGTTGCTGTACACATGCAGCTGGCTTTAGCTTTCCAGCACACAGCCGACACATAACACAACAGCAGAGAGAGCGCAGACTTTAAGGCGGCGAAGCCTGATTGCGGATGACGCTCAGGTGCGACCACCTCTCCTGCAGCGGCACTGCAGGCCACGCCCCGCCATACACATTAACCAGGTAAAATAAATATTTATGCAGATATTTTGCAAATATTTATTATTCACTTTTTTCCGATTATTTTTAAAATTCAGGTCAAGGCTCTACATGCTCCGAAAGCCCAAAGGCGATATAAGGATCCGTTTTTGTTTGCTACATGGATAATTTAAG